CGGTTTTTTGGAGACCCGACTTGCTGTTGCGGCTTAGCGACATAGTCGGACCCACGACATGGACATTTTCTTGTCCGACGGCGTTCATCACTTACTGTCTTTGGACGTGTTGCGGTGTTGATGACACAACACTTTTGAGCGTAGTGTACGATCTTCTTACAGCGATGGTATCTTGCCGTACGCTTGTGACTCAGAGAGCGAGAGTTCTCGCTCTCGATGAAACAGAGGCCCATTGGTTCGGGTCTCGTGTTTCCTGTCGTCTCTTCGGACGATAGTTTGACGAAGTAGCCTGAGACTGTCTCAGGCTGAAGTCTTCTTGTTCCGCATACGCTATCGCCTTTTAGCGTATGGAAATCCTCTTCGAACATGTCAGTCTTCACAGGTTCATCCACAAGGCCGTAGACGAACACGTTGATGAGTGTGTGCTCATCAACAGGGTTTTCCGTGACGCTACTCGCAAGGTAGCGTAGGTGTTGTGCGTAATCGTGCACATCACGCTCACCTTGTTTGAGCCACAGGAGTTCAGATCGCGCTCTAAACTCGGCTCGTGGCTGATCAAACGTCTCTTTGAGCCGAGAATTCAAGATCTCCAACGACTTAAACAAGTTTAAGTCGTGAAGCTTGAGCACTAGGGCCCAAGTCTTTGCTCGGCCTGTCAAGCTTGACAGGGCGAAGGTGGCTTGCATCTCGTCACCCTCGATGTGACGGGCCCTGCTGGCATTGTCTAACTCGACGAATCATCTCAAAAGGGAATCTTCATCAATTCCCTTATACCTTGAGATATCAAACTCTAAGGTTTCAGGTCATGCGTGTGCGTCGGCTCGCCCATCGACTGATAAGAGCCTTGCTGTTGTAGCAAGGCTATCTTCTGTATTTCAACGGCAAGTTCTCCTTGTAGGAACATGTTGATAGCAGCATGTTGTTGGTCTCTGATTAGAGACTCCAACATGCCACTGATGGGGGGTTCGCCCATGAGCACACTCATGCGGACGACTGTCTTCCATTCTGAGTCACTCAGATAAGAGTAGCCTTCATGTGTGACGTAAAATCCGTCATCTTCAACGTCCAACACGTTCATGTGGACGGACACTAAGTAGTCGTTGGACGGACTACAAAGTGCTACCAAGTGTAAAGGGGCGTCCTTTGCTTGAGTGCCACCATACTTCACGTAAACTTGTACGTGCAGAGGAAGCTAATTTACTCAACGACAAAGCTGAGCAAAGGGTAAAAAGAGAACTGTTTTTAATGTAAATTAGCTATCAATGTAAATTCATTCATTATCTAACTATATTAAAATGCGTCGTCGTATGACAACGATCTGCTCGCCACTCATTGCGCGAGGCCAGCAGCGATTGGTTGTAATCTATGGTTGAAATGTCTTTATCATCCAATCTTTGAGCAGCGCATGAATATTATCTTACAGGATGATTATATTCCTGCAATATTTTCCATCTCGTACAATATTGGTAGGGTATTTTACGCGAGACAATCTCCCTATTGACACCGTTTGGTGTCAATATCACGTATCGGTCTACACCGTTACAGCTACTGGAAATATTAAAAGATCATCTGCTTGGATTAAGCATTTTGTAGTCGATACAGAGACGCTTCATTACGCACTGCGACTCAGTCGCCTCATCTCTCCAACGAATGGCCCGTTGGCTTTCATTTTTTGCAGAAAATGACTTCGAGGCGAAGCACAAGCCAGGGCAGCAAGATGCTTTGGCTGGTGCATTGTCACTCCGTCACGATTATGAGCTTGCCCATGTTACTACTATGTCGTCGTCAATCTCTGATTTAATCTGTGCGGCTAACGTAAAAAATGAGCATTACGTCGCGTTATTGTGCGCACTAGGCTATTATGAGTTCGAGGCCTAGGACATTAAGTTGTCTGTACAGTTACGTGCGGGGCACGTCGATATTCTCTCGATAAAAGCTCACTGTGCTATAGCGCGGATGCAGCGGGTATATCGCGCAGATTAAATGGTCGTGATGCGGAACTTAGGTATCGTATCCCCTTTGAGGTGCGAAATATAGCTTTAAGCTATATTTATGTCGGGAAAGACACATGAATCGGTTAGCCAAAAGTGTTGGTAGCCCAAATTTAATAAACAGGTGAACACATATGTGCGTGCCTGTAAAACGTGTCAACGCTTCAAACTTTCCAATCATGCGGATGAGTCTTTGGCGAGGTACCTCTACATACTGCGTGTTGGGAGTCCATCACCATGGGCTTTGTGTTTGACATGCCGAAAGATTCTGATGGCAACACTGGCATTATGGTCTTTGTTGACTGATTGATCAAAACAACTCATATAGCGGCTGTGCCGGACTCGATCGATGGTGAACGTATAGCGCAGCTATTAATTGATAGGGTCTTTTGTCAACACAAATTTCCCGTGGCAATTGTTTCAGACCGTGACCCTCGGTATACCAGAATATTTAATGGTCTATATTTAAGATGTTGAGCACCAGGCTGGACATGTTCACAGCAGATCATCTGCAGAACGATGTTTAAGAAGCGCGTATTAGCCGCGTTACTGTTAATATTTTACGCAGCGTGTGTGCTGATACGCCTTGGCGTTGAAGCTCTATGCTCTCGGGAATCGAAATTGCAATAAACAGCTCGACAAAGTCCTCGACTGGTAACACGTCGTTCTATGTAAACGATCTAGATCACCCTTAAGTTTCGCTAACGCTATCATCCCGCGAGTCAGGGCTTGGTTACGGCTGTATCGTCGAAAAGCTTGCTGCTGTCAGCCCTGCCACTGCTCAGAAAAAGGCTGGCAAATTATTTGCAATAAGGTTAAATGTATTATGCCATGTGCGGGACGCAATGACTGAAAGCCAAGATAAGCAGAAGAAACAAGCGGATGGAACGAAAGATTATTTTTAAGTGTTATGAGGTAGGTGACCAAGTTTACTTACATTAAAAAACTACCTACGAGCAGTGTCTGCTGTCTTTAAATGCTTTGCGTCCGCGCTTTGTCGGACCTTTTACGGTCGTGGCCAAAAGAATCCTTGCGTATACGCTTTGCTTTTCACAAAAAATTGCGTTTCACCCCGTCTTTTATGTGGGCGCGTTTGAGCCATACCGGGATCCGTTCCTTGTTGACTCTAGGGCGCTGGCACCGCGTACATCAGCGTTGCCACAAGATGTTGCATCCGGATCAAGAGATCAAGCCTTGATCTCTTGATCCGGATGCAACATCTTGTCAAGTGAGTTACTAATGATGGATGGGTCCATATGAGGCATCGCACCCAGTGCCGGTAGCGCAGTCATTTAGGATTATATCAAATCATCCCAGTCAAAATTAAAAAAAAGTTAAATATGAAGTCGCGGCACCACGTTCAGGGAACGGATTTGGTGTCGGAAATAGGATAAGTTCACGCACAGGTGCGCTGGGTTCGGATTGCTCCCCCCCTGGGTGGCGGTATCACTACCATTACTTTCGTTTAATTCCTCGACACCATTAAATTCGGCTAGTGTAACGGAACACCCTGAAGCTTGTACTGGTGACAGTACAAGCTATTTATTCTGATGACAGAATTAGGCGGTGCCTCGTAACTTCACGTACACTCGTACGTGCAGAGGAAGACGGTAAGAAGAAGCGAGTACTTGGTTAAAGTAAAAAGTAGAACTGTATTTAGTATAGTTAATGTCTGCAATAAATCACTATTTATCTTCATTTAACTATGTCTAAATACAAATGTGTAAATCAGTTATCTGCTCACCACTCATTGCGTGCGTCTGTCGTGGTGCGTCTTCGTTGGTTGATATAATGGCCTATATCAACCAATTAGGAACTACTCGTAAGTGCTACAGAATATTTGTCCTTATGACAATATTCTGAGAATATGCCTCTTATAGTTATATTCTATTAACAATTTCTTATAAATTGTTATGTAACGATTCACCCCGTTACATCACCCCCCTTAACCATCAGTCAATTCAGTGACTGATTGACTAAATGGATACTCGTCCCAAATCATTTAGGACAGGGTTTGCACTTGTTGGTCCGAGTACACTTTCCAACATCTCATCGCATGGTTAACAAGCCCATGCGATGCGCGAGCAAAGCCGCCGAGAGCGCGTCCGCACGTCTCTATGCGGACGCCGAAGCAGAAACCACAGCAACTGATGTATCATCGGTTGCTGAAGCGACTCAGCCTGTGTCACTTGGTGATGCAGGCGCTGGTCATGAAGACACTCATGTCTTCACAGAGTATGAGCTCGGTGTCTCATACTCTCCTGATACGGAAGACGGATCCGTATCGACGGCGATCGAATCCAAGCATCCTGCCAAGCGTGGCATGGACGATGCTTTGCGTCGCAGCATCTGTGGTTCATCTGATGAATCAGATGAACCATCGCCGAAGCGAAGGCGCTCGAGGTCGCGAGACTCGGGCGCTAATAGTGGTGTCGGTTCTCCTATGGACACCACTTCACAGCGAGGTGCCAGTACTTCTGTCGGCACATCGCAGGAAGAGCGGGACCGCAATGTGTTGCGTCTCGCTCCTGAGAAGAAGGCATAGATGCCTCCCAAATCTGTCATGGATCACTTGTCGGCGACGACGAGTGATCGTTATCAACACGATTGTTCGATTCGTCAAGGATCCATCACCTTGACCCCAGCGCAAAAAACGTTTGCGCTGAGAATGAATTCTTCATCGATGCTTTCTTTAGACATCGATGGTACAGTGGTAATCACAAGCGTGATGGTCCCTCACTGCTTCAGGCGTGGAACACCTACATCCATAACCTTGAGGATGTAGGTCGTGACGCTTGGAACGACAAACTTATCAAAGGTCGTGATAAGTTTGAAAAGTGAACCCCGACAGGTGCACGCTACAAGCTGCATCGTCTGTCAAGGGAGAAAGTATTACCCTGCCTCTCTTGGGGAGACTCGTGCCCATGTTGTGTGAACAACTCTGCACGAGCACCTAAGGAGGCTTACCTCCTTACCAGCCCGTGGTGGCGCGTACGTATCTCTACTGAGATGTACGAAGGGATTGACAACTTGAAATCCCTTTACGACCGTGCCGGGAAGACTTTCTCCGGCGGTCCTTCTGCGGCACAGGATGTGCCGCGTCGTACTGCTCAACCAGACCCAGTACGTCGATCATCAGTTGGGAGCGGGGCTCCCGAGAATCCCAGGACGGGGGATAGCCGCGCCACCGGACGAGATAACTCGTCCGACGTCCGTTCATGTCGCGGTGTTTCAACAGCTGCTCAACTAGATAGCGCTGGCCACCGCGAGAGTTCTCTAATGGAGGTGGAGGAGGAGGAAAGACGCTCTCCACACGATCATGTGGATCGGTGTGTTCCCGAGAGCTTCTTTGATCGCGTAAAGCAAGGGTTACGCGACGATCTCGAACATGAGCGGGACAGGCGTCTCCAAATGGCGGACACTGTCTTGAAGCATTGAGCTGAGTTTGCCTTTGCTCAGCTTGAGAACGAGAGATCTCTGACATCTCTTCGTGACGAGCTAAGGGTAGCTCGTGGGATTGCTGATCGGTCTCGGGATGAGATAGCTGCTCTTCAGACCCTTGTTGATGCCCACCATCGGGAGCACAAGGCTCTCTGCGAGATGCTTGAGCGCAAGGGCGTTCTTCATCGGAAGAAGCAGCGTACTGATGGTACGGCTTAAGCCGACCAACGTAAAACGTGGGATGCGTTCGCATCTTACGTGGTAACTCGATCGTGTATGCATTGCCTAGGCGGTGCAATACACGAAATGGGCCAATGTACTTGGGTAGTAGTTTACTGCTACCCAAGTTAGTCACTACATGCTTTGGTAGATTAACCGTAGACAGTAGGACTAAGTCACCTTTATTAAATAAAAGAGTGTTTGCCCTTCCATTCTTGTCAGCGTTTTGCTTTTGCTTATCCACCGCTTCGGCGATGGAGTCTTGCACAAAACGGACTACCGTTTCACGAGCCAGTATGAACTCATCTGATGACTCGTTAGCTTCAGTGTGCTGTGAGCGCACTGCAGCAACATCAACCTTTTCTTCAGTGAGTGAGGGCTTCCGCACTCTCACTGGCATCATCTTCTTCGATATCGATGTTATCGATATCGGCATCAAACGCAATGACCACTTCGTCAGAGTGTGATGAGCGTGAACCAATTCGGTTTTTGCTCGCGCGAGTCTCTCCCCCCTAAATCAGAGTTACACTCTAGTAAGTTAGGTACACGCGGATGGCGAAAGCCATTCACGTAAAACGGTGTATGTGTCGTGGACGCATGTACCGAGTTGTTAATGGCAAACGCTACCATTGGGAAAAACTTACTCCAACTCTTATAGGAGTGTACGTATCCTCGAAGTATCGCTTCAAGGACACGATTGGCACGTTCCGTCTGACCATCTGACTCTGGATGATCAGATGTCGACATCTTCAAGCGCGTTCCGAGTGATTTGAACACGGAACGCCAGAAATCAGCAGTGAATCGTGGATCTCTGTCTGATACGAGTTCACGGAGCAACCCATGAAGTCGGAAGATGGTGTCAATAAAGACACAAGCACAGCCACTTGCCGTGATTGTCTCTGGTACAGCCACAAGGTGTACCATTTTGCTGAATCTGTCAACAAATACGAGAATACCCGTATTCCCGCGTGCGTCTTTGGGTAACCCGAAGACAAAATCCATTGAGATGGATTCCCAGCACTCAACCGGAACCGGTAGAGGCTGTAAAGGTGCACGCAGTGAAGGTCTTGACTTCACTCGTTGGCAGACTTCGCATGCGCGAACATACTTTCGCACAAACTGATACTGGCGGGGCCAGTAAAAGTCTCGACTCACCGTGAGATATGTTTTCTCTCGGCCACGATGTCCTCCTATAGGAGCATCGTGATACTCGAACATGATCCGCAAACGCAGATCAGTATCATCTGGAATGACAACACGTGGTGTGTCACCAGAAACGGCTTTATGATACAGCAACCCGTTACGAGTAGTGTATCGATCTGATGCAGATCGATACGCAGACGACAATCGTTTCAACGATTCTCGGGATGGTTGGGAGAGATGTGTCAACAACTTCACAATCTCACCATCTTGGGCGTATGCCCGCCTCACATCATCATACAACGTTGTAGATGGGACTGAGGACGTCATAACCGCAACAGTGACTGTCTCACTGTTGGGTTTCGCGACTGTTTCAAAGTCGGGACGACGTGACAGTGCATCAGCGACGACATTAAGTCGTCCTGGTTTGTACTCGACCGTAAAGTTGTATTCTGCAAAGAATGACAACCACCGCGCCATTCGTTGTGAAAGGTGCGGGCTGTTCACTGCCGTGCGTAATGACGCACGGTCAGTGTAAACAATGAAGGGTCTATCTCCTAATAGATAGACTCTGAACTTCGCGAGTGCATGCTTCATGGCAAGGAGTTCCTTGTCATGCACTGGATAGTTCCGCTCAGCTGGTTGCAGCTGACGCGACTGATAGCAGACGACGCGTTCAACGCCTTCAAGATCGTACTGCATTAATGCACAGCCGATTGCGAAATCGCTGGCATCACAGACCACATGAAATGGCCTGTCCTGATCGGCTATTGCTAGGACTGGGGATTGTATCAAGCTCCACTTGATACCATCAAAGGAGCGCTGACATTCAGCGTTCCATAACCACCTCTCGTTCTTTTTCAACAAACGAGAGAGGTGCACAGTCATTTCGGCGTAATTGCGTGAATACTTATGCAAATACGCCGCTAGCCCAAGGAATTTTCGAAGACCTTTGACATCAACCGGCACAGGCCAGTCGGTGATCGCCTTGATCTTTTCGGGATCAGGACGTACACCCTTCTTACCAACGATGCACCCAAGAAGTGGTATTTCGCTTGCTGCAAATATACACTTCTTGAGGTTTGCATACACTTGATGCTTTCGCATGATTGTAAGAACCTGTCGGACGTGGTACCTGTGAACCTCAACATCCGACTTTCCATCCATAGCTCGACTATGGATGAATACGTCATCGAAATAACTCGGCGCGAATTCTTGTACTGGTCTCAACAGATGTGATACACATCTGTTGAACAAGACAGGGGCATTACTAAGCCCTTGTGGCATTACTAGCCATTCCCAGAGCATGCCGCTAGGCGTGCTAACTGCAGTATAGGGTATATCCCGTTCCCGCATAAGGATTTGATAGAAGCCATCCATCAAATCCATGGACGAAAAGATGGTACTCTTTGACATACCATCAATGATTACGTCCTTCCTCGGTATCGGCGTCTGAGCCGGTGCCGTTGCAGCGTTCAATTTATTGAAGCGTGCACTATCCGCCACCCTCCTGTTGCTTTTCGCACACAGAAGGTCGTAGAGCTATGTGGGGAAGTTGATTCCCTCACATGGCCCGCAGCTAAACGATCGGCAAAGAACTTGTCGATCGCAAGTACTTGTTCACGAGGCAGTGGCCACTGCTTCATGACACAGTACTTCGAGCCTGGTTTAAGCTCGACCTCGTGTCGAATACCTTTATCCTTCGGTAATTCGCACGGAACAGTTTCAGGGAATACATCCTTGAATTCAACTAAATCTTCATAGAGAGGATTTTTCTTGAGCGATTCCCACGATTGGGAGTCATATCGCTCAATTCGTGTCTTTTCATCGAGGACACTTTCGTCCATAGATGAACTACTGAGAACTCTCTCGTTTTCAGTAAACACTGTTGCTGACCTTATGTCGGTTACACACTCGTCGTCAGAGACGAGTACGCAGATCTGCTTGACTTTGCCACTACGCAGATCACGCAAGAACCTTTTATGTTCGAGCGTTGGCAACTGAGTGATCTCCGAAGTCAACTTCGGAGGCGCAATCAGATCAAGTGTATAAGCGCCTACACTTGATCCGTTATTGACTATGACATTCAATGTCTCTGTCATTTCCGGGGGACTTATTCTCTCAGGCTTCGAAGGACTTATTCCTTCGGCTTCCCGGGGACTTATTCTCGCGGGTTTCAGGGAACTTATTTCCGCCGTATTTGTAATCTTGGGACTTATCCCCTTTACTTCCTCTAGCTGGGGTTGCGCAACCACAGCGAGATCCTCTACGAAAGACTCTCCAGTCGATCTAGGATTATCGTTTCGCTTAACCTGAGCGATCGATTGTTTCTCTTCTAGATGTTCCCCGCTAGGGATACATCTTTGTCCCAGTCCACCCGACTTATTCGAGTGGTGGACCTTCGGCGCAGCCTGTGTTTCCTCACAGCCGCCGGAACTTTTCTCCGAAGTGTAACCGTTTGGTACACTAAGTGTTGTGCAGTCGTACTAACGACCGTACCACAAGTGAGGCCATCGCACTCACTCGTAGTACATCCACACGCTTGTGGACGCCTCCAAAACGTTCATCACATGGCCATCTGATGAACAAGCGGCAGGCATCGTTACTGTTCGATGTTGCCAGTTTACCCGTGGTTCGTACCTTCTGAGCCACGGTATCCCAAGGATGACATCAAATTTGTCATCCAAATCCAATACGATAAAGTCATCGTCATATTGGGTATCTTCTAGCGTATAGTGGATCTTCACTATACGCTTCATGACGGTTACGGATGCGCCTGTCGAAAGACGTACCGTCATCCTCGTAGGAGGTGTGTCACTTTCAACAAACTTGAAATGACCATCTTCTAGCGATTGGCGTCGCACAAAATTGTTAGACGCCCCACAATAGACTAGAGCTCGAAGGGACAACTTATTTGTCACTTCGAGTTTCAAGGTAATGAGTGAGATCTCATTACCAAGAGCAGCAACGCACAACGTTTGTGTGTTGGGAGCAACCTTCATCAAGAGGCCTACAAATTCTCTTGACGTTGCTGGACCAGTAGTGTGCTCCGCACCTACTGATCCTGTCCGTTTTTTGACGGTCCATCCCGTTGTTGCGTCTTTGCACCAACTGCGGACCCTCGTCCCTGCCCCTTTCTCATGGGTGGACGGTCACTACGCCCAGTGTCGCGAGACACTGGACGAGGGGCACTACACTCGTAAGCGTAGTGTCCTGTCTTTTGACATCTGTTGCATCTCTGCAACCTCTTGTAGCCTGTAGAGCGAGCCTTCTCGCTCTCTACATAACAGAGTTCCATCGGCTCTGGACCTCCGTTGTCATATCGTCTCGGTTGACGATATGATGTCGAGCTGGCGCGAGCCTGTCTCAGACTGAAGTCTTCCTGCTCCGCAATGGAAATGGCTTGTTCTAGTGAATCTAGTTCAAGCCGGAACAGGTGAGTCTTGACGGGACCATCCGCAAGACCCTGCATGAACACCGAAACTAACGTGTGTTCATCCACCGGATTGGAACTTATACAACTCGTGAGATGTCTTATATGTTGCGCGTAAGCGTGCACATCACGCTTACCCTGCTTGAGCTTCAAGAGTTCGGTTCGAGCTCTGATCTCAGCTCTAGGCGGTTCAAACGTTTGTCTGAGCCGCGACTTGAAGACTTCCAACGACCCAAACGCATATGGGTCGTGCAACTTGAGCCCCAGTGCCCAAGTCTTGGCGCGTCCTGCCAGATTTGACTGGGCAAATGCAACTTGCATATCCCCGTCGTCGATGCGACGCGCCCTTATGGCGTCATCCAATTCGACGAACCATCTCAAGAGGGAGTCCTCTTCGACTCCCCTATACTTGGAGATGTCAATCTTCAAGGTCTCGGGTCGACGCGAGTGCATCGACCCGCCAGCAGCAGCCTGCTGCTGTCTCAACAGTTCAACCTGTTGAGCACCCTGTTCTCTCAACAACTCTGCTTGTTGAGAACCTTGTTGGTGAAGCAAGGCTACTTTCTCGCGTTCAGCGTCAAGTTCATTTTGAATGAACTTGGCGATAGTAGCATGTTGGGCATCTCTATTGAGAGCCTCTAGCATGACGCGAACAGCATGGATGCCCATGGTTGAACCCATTCGTTCAACCGCATCCCATTCGACATCGCTCAAATGGGAGTAGCCGTCACGCGTAGCGTGAAAGCTTTGGTCATCTCCATCATCCAACATATTCATGTTGGATGTGAACGCGGTCCTTGGACGGACTACGAAGTGCTACCAGGTGTAACGGGGCACCCTGAAGCTTGTACTGGTGACAGTACAAGCTATTTATTCTGATGACAGAATAAGGCGGTGCCTCGTAACTTTACGTACACTCGTACGTGCAGAGGAAGACGGTAAGAAGAAGCGAGTACTTGGTTAAAGTAAAAAGTAGAACTGTATTTAGTATAGTTAATGTCTGCAATAAATCACTATTTATCTTCATTTAACTATGTCTAAATACAAATGTGTAAATCAGTTATCTGCTCACCACTCATTGCGTGCGTCTGTCGTGGTGCGTCTTCGTTGGTTGATATAATGGCCTATATCAACCAATTAGGAACTACTCGTAAGTGCTACAGAATATTTGTCCTTATGACAATATTCTGAGAATATGCCTCTTATAGTTATATTCTATTAACAATTTCTTATAAATTGTTATGTAACGATTCACCCCGTTACAGCTAGAGCCTTATATTTCGTTTGGTGTCCAGGTCGGTCCATGATGACAAGTTACAAGGTAACAACCTGAATGATGAGACAAGTCGAGTGATGTTTGTGGTGACTTCAGTCTGGTCGGAGAAGGTGTAATGGGATCACTCTGGCCTTCGGCTAAATTGATTGAAGACCTCCCATTTTTGATATGAAAGACAAGTGTGGCCCTAGATTTTATTTCAACAGAGAATAACTTTTAGTCGGTATTCTTCAAGTTGCGGTACTTACCGTGGAAGTACTACATACCGTCATCATTTGATGACTTAGTGATGTGCCAACCAAATTTCGTTCGAATACTAACATTTGCATCAGTTCTATTTCAGGCAAAAAAGGGTATTTAAAGTAGGTTTTTTTTGATATAAAATCTAAGCAAATTCAGTTCTCATTTTGAGCAGAAGTTCATAGACTTCGACCCCCCTCTTTCGCATGTTGCGCTTGAAAGTTCCTTAGAACTGTCGTAATTTATATATTCCTTAGACCCTTGTATTTCCCTTTGCACATTGTGCGTGTAGTTCTTTAGAACTACAGTAGCTTGAGCTAATAGCTCATACAGTCCGCGCTAGTTCCGTAGAATTAACCGACTCGTTAACTTAATATTCAAGTTCCTTAGAACTAATTAGCTGTCAGTCGTAAGCCTCTGTCTAAACGCGTAAAGTCTTCCTCTGACTATAGAGCTGTGGTAGCTCCGCTACAAGTAGTGTAACGTGGATAATATGACGAAAGCTGCATTACACGTGCTGGGTACGGATAATAAATTGGGTTGATGCGAGACGTCCCTGTACCTCGCAATTGTCAGAGTATGATGCAATCACACCAGATGAAAAAAGTATTAGCTAATAAAATTAGTATGTGTGCACTCAACGACATGAAGTAATTATGATACACCTGCAAGGGAAGTGCAAACGTAAGCCTATCCAGTGGAAAGTTGTGGGTGCGGTGCATGCTGTGAGGAGACTCACGGCGCTAATGAAATTTATGTTAAAACTCGCCTTTTGGCACTAGGCAATCAATCCGATGCCGAAAATTGACTTCGAAAACATATTTGCCTCTCGCAGATAGTGTGTCATCTTTTTACATACTGCTGGAACTTACATCATAACACGGATGTCAAGGGTAAAAAGATGATGTCAGTATGGCTGGTCTTTACACATGGGATGTCTCATTGCAACACTTAAAAATATTGACAGGGATATCAAGGTCATCAGGCAACATGCGTGTTGTAGCAATTGCCACAATGAAACAAATTAACCTGGGAAGCATTGGAGTACGAATGCTTGGGTAGGCCAACGTAAATTAAGGGTTACTAACTGAATCTTGTATGTACAACCAACTCGACGGGGGGGTGGTCGGTACTTATATACTCGTATAGGTGCACGACATATTAGTCGCAACAAACAACGGTCAATGCAAAGAGCATCTAAATGATAACCTGAGCAATTTATATGGTACAATAGATTTAGTGTTTTTGCCAAATATATCAGGATTTGGACTGAACAGACCAAGTAGCACATAGCAATTTAGCAGATTTAATATTCAAGGGATCTCCTATACGCTTTTAAGAAGTTAACGCATAAGCATTTGGATAACGATGAAAATGTTGTTAATCTAACAGTGACGAGTGCAAGCGAGGGCGTGATTACAGAAAGACTAAATCTGATCAAGAATTATAATAAAGGCAGTTGAGTCTAATTGTTGCGATTTTAAAAGCAAAACATGACATTTTTAGTCATTCGAAGTTGCAAAGCATTTCAATTTTGATAGGTGTATCAAGTAATCGCAACCACTTTTCGACTGACCGTGTCGTTTTTGATTACAAAGTTGCTGTTTTTACGATTAGCGTATTTGTAGTGTGAATTGAAATGCTTATCACTTAATCGAATGACATTAAGACAAAGCATTGGGCACAGTGTACACCGACCGACACTGGTCGACAGGTGCACATAAAACAGCGACATTGGCGACAATACTGCGACATCGTACTCGCGGCTGGGTAGTTTTTCAGTCATTTCGGTTTGATCTCACCCCTGCACGGTATAGAGCCTTCGAAATTTCCATGATCTCACTATCGAGAGCACCGATTTACAACACTAAAGACCGAGTGAGTGTCAAAGAATGAACACCATCTCCTCTGGTATAGTTTAGATTCTTTGACATGCGTGTATGACGACATCCATAGTACCCACATCTACTTAAAAATCTTAAAAGCCAACGACGACAACCCACGTGCCCCCACCCTAAAGACATAAAATTGCTGTTAAAAGCGAAGTAAATCGATGAATTAGTCCGCTAATGTGATCCCGGTTTGATTGGCATGTCCAACAAGTAGATATCCGTACATCTAAAATGCATGGACCAAATAAATTCATTAGAGTATAATCTAATTCTTCTTTATTCGTGTTGTGGTCGTAATGTCTTCACCTGTAAAGCGTGCAGAATATCACCATTTGGATTTCCTTCCTTAGCAGTGTGACCTAAAGAATAGTCTAGTCATAGCGCGCAAGTTAGTCGCTAAATTAGCTCGACGCAGACCTGTGTTTGTTTAACAAGACATATATAATTACCTTCCTCGTCTTTCCTCGCACATGCAACGAATTTCATTCACCCTCATACCGCTAAACGTCGAGTGGTACGATAAGATTCGTAAAACACAGTTAAGGCAGACCACCACGTCGTTGTCGATTCGACTTGTACTTAAATCGTCTTCTCCGTTTAAGTCCTCCCCCAATCTCCTTCGAAAGTGCTTGACACCCGATTAAAGCCTCCTTCAATCTCATTCGAGTGTAAACCAACCTCTTATCTCCTCCGAGTGCGCATCTCGCGAGTCTATCTGCTCGTGAATGTGGATCTACGGTAAGACAGGTTTTTAACATCTTTTGGTATGTCGCCCAGTCGATATCTTGTTTCATAAAGGCCTGCGATACCATTTGGACTGCCACGTTGCCGCATGTTTTTTTCTCTTTGAACACCGCGTTGGCCAGGAGGGTTAGGAGCCGCCCCACCCCGTAGTACGCACGCAGCGACTCATACAGCGTCAGGTACCCCTTGTTCTCCATGCCTTTGATGTTTAATTCCAACATCGTAACTTCCTCGTTCGTGTTTTGTGTTTTCAGCTGTGTCTTAAGCCCTTGCAGACTTTTTCGCTTGTCTTCCAGATCAATGTCGGGGTGCTCGATATAGTGCATGAGTGTTGCCAGTCCATCGAGGTCAAGGTCTTCTGTGCTGGGCTGCAGAAGCTCGACAAAACTCAGAAGGGGATTCTGCTTCCTCGCCGAGCTCGCGGATTTGAGATGGAGTTGTTGTTCTTGCAATCCAGGCGATTGAGTTTTCTCGGGTACTTGTTTCTTAGGTCGTTTCGCCGAGCCGCTGTCTTTCAAATGAGCTTGCTTGGCCAAAGTACTCTGAAGGGTGTCCGCAAGTAAGGAAGATATTGTGTGCTTCCTGAGAGGGACCTCAGGCTTTCGCACAAGCACTTTCTTCATCGACGACATGACGGATTCAGTCTGAGATAGAAATGGTACGGGTAGCCCACTTGATCTCTCTTGATCGCTATCCATCTTGTCAGACCTCAACTTTGTCTTAGCGAGGCGAGGTCTTCCGTCGGGATTGGAGGTAAAGCGGCGGGAGCAACGGCCACGATTGATGGACTCTCGACGCACGCAAGGGTGACGGCGAGACCGACGGTGTACACTCGCATGCTTGAAAAGGGTATCGAGTTTGTAACGGGGTGAATCGTTACATAACAATTTATAAGAAATTGTTAATAGAATATAACTATAAGAGGCATATTCTCAGAATATTGTCATAAGGACAAATATTCTGTAGCACTTACGAGTAGTTCCTAATTGGTTGATATAGGCCATTATATCAACCAACGAAGACGCGCCACGACAGACGCACGCAATGAGTGGTGAGCAGATAGTCGATTTACACATTTGTATTTAGACATAGTTAGATGAAGATAAATAGTGATTTATTGCAGACATTAACTATACTAAATACAGTTCTACTTTTTACTTTAACCAAGTACTCGCTTCTTCTTACCGTCTTCCTCTGCACGTACGAGTGTACGTAAAGTTACGAGGCACCGCCTTATTCTGTCATCAGAATAAGTAGCTTGTACTGTCACCAGTACAAACTTCAGGGTGCCCCGTTACACCTGGTAGCACTTCGTAGTCCGTCCAAGGACCGCGTTCACATCCAACATGAATATGTTGGATGATGGAGATGACCAAAGCTTTCACGCTACGCGTGACGGCTACTCCCATTTGAGCGATGTCGAATGGGATGCGGTTGAACGAATGGGTTCAACCATGGGCATCCATGCTGTTCGCGTCATGCTAGAGGCTCTCAATAGAGATGCCCAACATGCTACTATCGCCAAGTTCATTCAAAATGAACTTGACGCTGAACGCGAGAAAGTAGCCTTGCTTCACCAACAAGGTTCTCAACAAGCAGAGTTGTTGAGAGAACAGGGTGCTCAACAGGTTGAACTGTTGAGACAGCAGCAGGCTGCTGCTGGCGGGTCGATGCACTCGCGTCGACCCGAGACCTTGAAGATTGACATCTCCAAGTATAGGGGGGTCGAAGAAGACTCCCTCTTGAGATGGTTCGTCGAATTAGATGACGCCATAAGGGCGCGTCGCATCGACGACGGGGATATGCAAGTTGCATTTGCCCAGTCAAATCTGGCAGGACGTGCCAAGACTTGGGCACTGGGGCTCAAGTTGCACGACCCATATGCGTTTGGGTCGTTGGAAGTCTTCAAGTCGCGGCTCAGACAAACGTTTGAACCGCCTAGAGCTGAGATCAGAGCTCGAACCGAACTCTTGAAGCTCAAGCAGGGTAAGCGTGATGTGCACGCTTACGCGCAACATATAAGACATCTCACGAGTTGTATAAGTTCCAATCCGGTGGATGAACACACGTTGGTTTCGGTGTTCATGCAGGGTCTTGCGGATGGTCCCGTCAAGACTCACCTGTTCCGGCTTGAACTAGATTCACTAGAACAAGCCATTTCCATTGCGGATCAGGAAGACTTCAGTCTAAGACAGGCTCGCGCCAGCTCGACATCATATCGTCAACCGAGACGATATGACAGCGGAGGTCCAGAGCCGATGGAACTCTGTTATGTAGAGAGCGAGAAGGCTCGCTCTACAGGCTACAAGAGGTTGCAGAGATGCAACAGATGTCAAAGACAGGACACTACGCTTACGAGTGTAGTGCCCCTCGTCCAGTGTCTCGCGACACTGGGCGTAGTGACCGTCCACCCATGAGAAAGGGGCAGGGACGAGGGTCCGCAGTTGGTGCAAAGACGCAACAACGGGATGGACCGTCAAAAACGGACAGGATCAGTAGGTGCGGAGCACACTACTGGTCCAGCAACGTCAAGAGAATTTGTAGGCCTCTTGATGAAGGTTGCTCCCAACACACAAACGTTGTGCGTTGCTGCTCTTGGTAATGAGATCTCACTCATTACCTTGAAACTCGAAGTGACAAATAAGTTGTCCCTTCGAGCTCTAGTCTATTGTGGGGCGTCTAACAATTTTGTGCGACGCCAATCGCTAGAAGATGGTCATTTCAAGTTTGTTGAAAGTGACACACCTCCTACGAGGATGGCGGTACGTCTTTCGACAGGCGCATCCGTAACCGTCATGAAGCGTATAGTGAAGATCCACTATACGCTAGAAGATACCCAATATGACGATGACTTTATCGTATTGGATTTGGATGACAAATTTGATGTCATCCTTGGGATACCGTGGCTCAGAAGGTACGAACCACGGGTAAACTGGCAACATCGAACAGTAACGATGCCTGCCGCTTGTTCATCAGATGGCCATGTGATGAACGTTTTGGAGCGTCCACAAGCGTGTGGATGTACTACGAGTGAGTGCGATGGCCTCACTTGTGGTACGGTCGTTAGTACGACTGCACAACACTTAGTGTACCAAACGGTTACACTTCGGAGAAAAGTTCCGGCGGCTGTGAGGAAACACAGGCTGCGCCGAAGGTCCACCACTCGAATAAGTCGGGTGGACTGGGACAAAGATGTATCCCTAGCGGGGAACATCTAGAAGAGAAACAATCGATCGCTCAGGTTAAGCGAAACGATAATCCTAGATCGACTGGAGAGTCTTTCGTAGAGGATCTCGCTGTGGTTGCGCAACCCCAGCTAGAGGAAGTAAAGGGGATAAGTCCCAAGATTACAAATACGGCGGAAATAAGTTCCCTGAAACCCGCGAGAATAAGTCCCCGGGAAGCCGAAGGAATAAGTCCTTCGAAGCCTGAGAGAATAAGTCCCCCGGAAATGACAGAGACATTGAATGTCATAGTCAATAACGGATCAAGTGTAGGCGCTTATACACTTGATCTGATTGCGCCTCCGAAGTTGACTTCGGAGATCACTCAGTTGCCAACGCTCGAACATAAAAGGTTCTTGCGTGATCTGCGTAGTGGCAAAGTCAAGCAGATCTGCGTACTCGTCTCTGACGACGAGTGTGTAACCGACATAAGGTCAGCAACAGTGTTTACTGAAAACGAGAGAGTTCTCAGTAGTTCATCTATGGACGAAAGTGTCCTCGATGAAAAGACACGAATTGAGCGATATGACTCCCAATCGTGGGAATCGCTCAAGAAAAATCCTCTCTATGAAGATTTAGTTGAATTCAAGGATGTATTCCCTGAAACTGTTCCGTGCGAATTACCGAAGGATAAAGGTATTCGACACGAGGTCGAGCTTAAACCAGGCTCGAAGTACTGTGTCATGAAGCAGTGGCCACTGCCTCGTGAACAAGTACTTGCGATCGACAAGTTCTTTGCCGATCGTTTAGCTGCGGGCCATGTGAGGGAATCAACTTCCCCACATAGCTCTACGACCTTCTGTGTGCGAAAAGCAACAGGAGGGTGGCGGATAGTGCACGCTTCAATAAATTGAACGCTGCAACGGCACCAGCTCAGACGCCGATACCGAGGAAGGACGTAATCATTGATGGTATGTCAAAGAGTACCATCTTTTCGTCCATGGATTTGATGGATGGCTTCTATCAAATCCTAATGCGGGAACGGGATATACCCTATACCGCAGTTAGCACGCCTAGCGGCATGCTCTGGGAATGGCTAGTTATGCCACAAGGGCTCAGTAATGCCCCTGCCACGTTAAACAGATGTGTATCACATCTGTTGAGACCAGTACGAGAATTCGCGCCGAGTTATTTCGATGACGTATTCATCCATAGTCGGGCTATAGATGGAAAGTCGGATGTTGAGGCTCACAGGTACCACGTCCGACAGGTTCTTACAATCATGCGAAAGCATCAATTGTATGCAAACCTCAAGAAGTGTATATTTGCAGCAAGCGAAATACCACTTCTTGGGTGCATCGTTGGTAAGAATGGTGTACGTCCTGATCCCGAAAAGATCAAGGCGATCACCGACTGGCCTGTGCCGGTTGATGTCAAAGGTCTTCGAAAATTCCTTGGGATAGCGGCGTATTTGCATAAGTATTCACGCAATTACGCCGAGATGACTGTGCACCTCTCTCGTTTGTTAAAAAAGAACGAGAGGTGGTTGTGGAACGCTGAATGTCAGCGCTCCTTTGATGGTATCAAGCAGAGCTTGATACAATCCCCAGTCCTAGCAATAGCCGATCAGGACAGGCCATTTCATGTGGTCTGTGATGCCAGCGATTTCGCAATCGGCTGTGCATTAATGCAGTACGATCTTGAAGGCGTTGAACGCGTCGTCTGCTATCAGTCGCGTCAGCTGCAACCAGCTGAGCGGAACTATCCAGTGCATGACAAGGAACTCCTTGCCATGAAGTATGCACTCGCGAAGTTCAGAGTCTATCTATTAGGAGATAGACCCTTCATTGTTTACACTGACCGTGCGTCCTTACGCACGGCAGTGAACAGCCCGCACCTTTCACAACGAATGGCGCGGTGGTTGTCATTCTTTGCAGAATACAACTTTACGGTAGAGTACAAACCAGGACGACTTAATGTCGTCGCTGATGCACTGTCACGTCGTCCCGACTTTGAAACAGTCGCGAAACCCAACAGTGAGACAGTCACTGTTGCGGTTATGACGTCCTCAGTCCCATCTACAACGTTGTATGATGATGTGAGGCGGGCATACGCCCAAGATGGTGAGATTGTGAAGTTGTTGACACATCTCTCCCAACCATCCCGAGAATCGTTGAAACGATTGTCGTCTGCGTATCGATCTGCATCAGATCGATACACTACTCGTAACGGGTTGCTGTATCATAAAGCCGTTTCTGGTGACACACCACGTGTTGTCATTCCAGATGATACTGATCTGCGTTTGCGGATCATGTTCGAGTATCACGATGCTCCTATAGGAGGACATCGTGGCCGAGAGAAAACATATCTCACGGTGAGTCGAGACTTTTACTGGCCCCGCCAGTATCAGTTTGTGCGAAAGTATGTTCGCGCATGCGAAGTCTGCCAACGAGTGAAGTCAAGTCCTT